CTATTAGGTTGGAGGCCATCGTTATTAGGTTGGAGGCCATCGCTATTAGGTTGGAGGCCATCGTTATTAGGTTGGAGGCCATCACTATTAGGTTGGAGGCCATCGTTATTAGGTTGGAGTAGGTTCCTTAAAGCCTTTTTCTTCGCTTTTCATTCAGCTGCTCCCGTGCCTTCACCACATAATTTCCGCCCATTAAAACCACCTCTTTGCCGTCGATCTTAAAAACCTCTCCATAGATGCCTGCACGGCCCGCCCGCAAGGGTGTTTCTTCGGTCATAGCTAAGGCAAACGCCGCGGCCGTGCAAGGATCTGAAACGGCTGAGATGGAACACAAACCAAGCATCCAACGTGATCAATTCCAAGGTATATAGGAGGAGAAGGAGGCCATCGCCCTTACCATTTCAGGTCTTCATGACATCACATGTCGGCTCACAGTGTCACATGAACCAAGCTGCTGGAGATGTGTTGGGCGCGTCAGGAAGCTTTAGTTTGGGCGGATCTCCTTGAACACACGGATCGTCAGAGGAAAGTGTTGGTCATTCGCCGAGTGTTTGCGCTATTTGTTCTTTGAAAACTCAAAGGCAAAATCTATTGTGGCCTTCATCTGCTGCGTCTGCTTCCACCGTTTCCTCGTTCTGCTCCGGCTGCGAGTCCTGCCGAATCAGAAACACCACGTAACAAGCCCTGACACAGCGCAAAGGGAGAGACAATCGACCTTTAGACATTTCCTGTTCCTCTCCCTTTCTCTTGTTCTCTTTTTTTTAATTTAGTAGCAAGTGCCACGCTAGTAGTAACAAGTGCCTTACTAGTAGTAACAAAAAGCTATCTAAAAAAATAATCAATAATTCTAATAGCTTCTTGTTACTACTAGTAAGGCACTTGTTACTAGTAGCGCAAGGGAGTGAGAGACAATCGACCTCTAGACATGTCCTTTTACTATTAGGAACAAGTGCCTCGCTAGTAGTAACAAGAAGCTAGTAGTAGTTTAGTTTGAATTTGTATTTAATTTTAATGGCTTCTTGTGACTAGTAGTAAGGCACCTGTTACTAGTAGCGATGCACTTGTTACTAGTAGCTTTCTCTTTTTTCTCTTAGGGACCGTTTGCACCTTGTGCGTTTGCAGGCTGGCAACTCTACCAAAGGCCTCAGCCTCAATGCTCTTCTCGTTGTGCTCACACAACTTCTCCTCGGTTTCGAAGCGACGTTGAAACAACGATCTTTCGAAGATCGGTGACTTTCATTACAAACAACGACGTTCATCCCCTTCAAGAATGCGACGAAGAATGCAAAAACGAAGAATGCGAAGAGCAAACGAACGAGCACTCGAGACTCGTCCCAATCGAGCAGCGGTGACTTCCCAGCCACCAAGCCACTGACCAACCTGAAGTGGCGCTATGGCAAGAGACGCCCTTGTTACGTTCGTAGCTTCTTGCCACTAGTAGTCATGGCCTCCAACATCCTCCAATCTACTATAGCGATGGCCTCCAACCTAGTAGCTTCTAGCTACTAGTAGCGATGCTGAAAGCAACCCATGTTGCTTTCGGTCTCTTTTTGCGTTTCAAACCGACATCTTTCCGAAAGCGTGTTCTGTAAGAATGCAAGCGGTTCCCCTCGTGTCCATCTTCCGTCAGACTGTGTCGATGTCGTCCAAGTCACATGGCGCTTAAGCGCCCGAAACTTGGAGACCCCTTCCTGAGCACAAAAAGAACCGGTGAAAAGGCCCGAATCTGCGTCACTGACGAAGATATCTCTCTGTTTGTCGGTATGATCTACGGCGCCCGGCGCCTAGTTCGTAGAGTGACTGCAGGACAACAAATTTATATTTCTGCTCCAAGCTGCTTCTGGAGGGTTTCCTGACAAGAAACACAAAGGTTTCCGTGTCCAAGAGATTTGTTGTGAACCTCTCTGAGGTCAACAATCAAAATGGGTGGACATTGCCCAGCGCAACAAATCGAGACACGTTGTGGTAATTCTGCCGAGAAATCCCAAGCCCTGGTACTCCAACTTAAGGACCCCATGAAAAAAACACGTTTGCCTCAGACTAAATCACACAATATTCAAAAGAATACATTGCTCTGGGTTTTTCTCTCTGGCTCCACACCGCTACTCCGCTGCACTCGGACGGTGCGAAAGCCTCCACGAACCGGGCGTGTCATGGAGCCATGGCGTGTCACTGCACTTCGTTGGCACGCTCCGCTCTTCGCTCCGTTGGCACATCGTTGGGTGATTGAACCGTGTCGCGATTGGGGCCGTTGAACCTGGAATTTTCATCTGTTTGGATTTCATGTGGTCAGGGTGTACACCTGTTAAATCCCTAGCTTGCAATATTCACTTGCCTGCCAAAGATTCCAGCAAAATTAAGTAAAGAGCAATCTTTTGTGAATTCTCACTGGCCACCCGCCACTTTAACTGCCACTTGACATCATGAGGGCTCCATCAGGGTTGGAACAAGATGTCATTTGCCTGCAACAAAGTAGTGTCTTGACTGCCTTGTGTCAAACCATGTGATCTTCCGATTTAAGCTTTGGTAGAGCTGCGGGGAGGAATTTTGTTTGTCCCACTGCGTGGAAAATCTGTTTCATTGGTGTCTACTGACTTCTCACCTTGCCAAAGGTTCCATGAACAAAACATCAAGGAAACAAAAAACAAAACTAGTTTGCATGCAGTGCCTTGCAACCACTTCCAGCTAGAGCACTGTTTGGAGTCTCAAACAAGTTTAAAAGTTTAAACCGTTCTAAGGTTTGAGAGATCAAGAAATGCGCATTAGATTAAGTGTTTTTACAAATAAAAAGCCAGTCTTCACTCAAGTTCAAGACCTAAGCCCTCACAAAAATAGTTTAGGCTCAAGAAGGCCGCTTACAACCCATTCCACTTGAATGCCACACCTGGTCCCGGAGCTTCACTGCCAAGCAGACGTTGATGCGTAGGAGATCTGCGGTGAAGAATGCAACAGTGGCACCGTGCCATGTGACCAAACACTTGTTAATGCTCTTTCGAACGCGCATCCCACAAATCAAACAAAGGGATCCCAAATAAACACGGCCGGCAAACTCTTTTGTCACCTTTGAGCTATCCATGAAGGAAAGCCCGCCTTTACATGTAAGAAATGAGAGGCAAGCAAGTTGGTCAAGAAGTTGCAAAGCCGCTCTTGTGGCTAGAATCAGGAATCAACACAAGGCCCTTTGGCGCCAAAGTGTGCAAAGCACCGAAAGCCCTTGTAGCAGCCAGTGCACCACCAGCCCTGTGGTATGGATTATATGGTCGGTATGGGGTGTGAAACAAGCGAGAGGCGGGGAGCGTTGAAGGTATGAGGCAGTTGCTGGCAGAAAGGGAGTGAAGCAGGAAACGAGTAACAAGTGCCACGCTAGTAGTAACAAGTGCCTTACTAGTAACAATGTTTGCTAGTAGAAACAAATAGCTTCTTGTTACTACTAGTAAGGCACCTGTTACTAGAAGCGATGCACTTGTTCCTAGTAGCTTCTTGTTCCAAAGGTAGAGTGGAAATTCGCAGATTTCTGAACGCGTCAAAGACGGAGTCAGCGGAGACAGGTAGTGAGTCAGGAGACGGAGTGCCCAATCTGTTGAGCCCCCACGCTTTGACCAATCTGTTGGGCGCGAGGGCGCTTTTACCGTTCTCGCAGACCTCCATTTTCCCTGTGAGTCTGTCTAAATTGGGCACAGGACCTTTTTCAGCAAAAGCTTGTGGATTCTGAGAATCATACTTTGCGATCAACCTTCTCAAGGCTTCCCAAAGTGCTAGCCACGAGAAGTGTGTCTCCCGGGCTTCATCTCAATGGTTTCGGAGTCCAGAACCTGACATCCCAGCACTGTTCTTGATTCCCGCGTTGGCTTGAAACATCCTGACTCCCATGTTCCTGTCTAAAGACTGGTAGACAAATGAAGAGGATTGAAGGGCAGAGGTCGGCAGCGTGAGGCGGACACAGCAGTCCAGACCAGGCGCACACACTTAATTTAAGCATTGAGAAAAGCATTGAGAACCCAACTTTTTGATTAAAAGCATTGAGGTAGTGTCCAACTTTGTGATTAAAAGCATTGAGAACCCCAACAGTAAACTGCTTGGGGAAAAAACATAAACGAAAAAATTGATTGTTCATTCTATTCAGAAGGCAAACGCTATGCCTGCACAAAACCTCCGACAAAATGTGTCAAGCAACTTGGTAGCTCGACTTCGGCGCGTTAAACCTCACTTTTGCGAGCTTTGCAAAGTCTCAAGAGCTCACTGGTCTTGATCCCGCCGCCATCCTTGAAGGAGATCTTCGTAGAGCTCAGGTGGGAGCGCAATCCAGTCCTCCTCGTCCCTCTGTGAATAGGGCAAAGCCAAATGACGTCCAGCCCTGTTTGACAGCCAGTATCCGCGCTCAAACTCGACGAACTAGCTTGGCTGTTGGCTTGGACATCCAGCCAGCACTACCAGTACCAGTCTGGACACCTACGTCGCACAACGGCGGTTTCGACACTGGCCTCTTGTCTCCTTTGTCGCTCCTAGGTCCCGTAATCAACGAGGAGAGGAGGAGAGGAGAGGAGGCGGGATCCGAGTCTAAAATCTATACTGCGCTTCCTATAGGCTTGACTGACATGTACGGAGGCTTCAAAAAGTATCGTTTTCCCAGAGTCTTGAGATGCAAAATAAAGCAAAAACGGTGGATTCTACGGTCTTGACGTTTCCCGAAGCTTCCCGAGCTCGGTCTCGATGCGCCAGCCACCCTTGAAGAAGCTCATAAAGCTCCGGCGGAAGCATGATCCAATCGTCCTCTTCTCTTTCTGAGTGGGGCAAAGCCCACATCCAACCCCGCTTGAGCGGCAGTGTCCACACACGAACTCGACGAACTAGTTTGGCTATCGGTTTGGACATCCAGCCCTGCACGGCGCGGGGACAGGAAAAGGAGACCAAGACGACAGCAGGAGGACAACAGAAAAGCAATCTGTTGCATCTGCCACGTTTTTTCAACACGCTCGCAACTTTCCAGAAGTGATTCTCATTGGTGGTTGTCTTCTGAAATGACAATGTCCCCCGTATCTCTTTGCACCCGTTCTTCTTTTCGTTTTTTGTCCTATTCGAACACATCTGTTCGGCGCTTTTCAGCGGCCAAAGACTGTGGCTAATGTCTTTTTAAGAAGGAGACGTTCGCAAGCGTGGCCGAGGAGAGACACCAGGACGACACAGGGCTCGCCAGCGCAGCCAACACAGGTTTCGCAAGCGCCAGAGGACAGCAGGAAGACAAGAGGATAACACCCGGACACAGGGTTCAGGGTGTGAAGCGAGAACTCCAACAGTAGACGGCTTGGGGAAACATACTTAAAATGTGAACCCCGACAAGTTTCCTTGGCGCAGAAAAGGGCAAAGCTTTGCGCACGCAGCGGAGTGGAAGCCTCCGCAGGAAGAAACCTGAAAGAAATGCAATTCAAAAAGACGCCAATCCAAAACAAACCCTTTAAATTCCCAAAGGCACGCAGCCCTAAACCAAGCACTAAAGAAGCCTAAAGAAGTGAAACCCCAGAACCAAGCCAAAAGCTTCCTCTGAACCAAGCCCCCCCAAAAAAATAACAAATTTTAGAGAAACCCTACAGGAGGGATGCCCAAAACCAAGCCCACGCAAACCTACAGAAGGGATGCCCCAGCACAAAGAAGCTCTAAAGAAGCGAATGCCCAAACCCAACCAAGGAGACCCCAAACAGGTGCCAAGCAGGCTCCATGAAAGCCAAGCGTGTCGAGATGAACCGTTCAAGGTCCCCGCTCAGAACCAGTCCCGTGACCAGGTAGTTCTGGCCCCTGTGGTTAAGGAACGCGAACTAGCGTGGCACTTGTTACTAGTAGCTTCTTGTTACCACTAGTAAGGCACCTGTTACTACTAGCGTGGCACTTGTTACTAGTAGCTTCTTGTTACTACTAGTAAGGCACGGGTGACGGGCGGTCATCTTCAGACAGCACGGGCGGAGGATCTTTGCCTCGCACAAGTCGCTGAGGGGCTTGGCAGCACGCGGCGCGCCATAGAAATCAGCCTTGCAAACGACGCCAAATGCACCGCCGAGTTCCTTCAAAGCCAAAGCACACTGCTCTGGCACGTTGCAAGTGCGCTGAATGAGCCACGCTGGCACAAAACGCAATGGCTTGCCAACTCTGTTGCAACCTTTCAGTTGGGCTTCGATCACTGTTGCGCTCAATGGGCTGACAATGGGCTGGCATGCTGCTGGCACAGGCGAATCGATGAATTTCGAACTTCCGCCAGCACAACCAATCAGAGAGAGGCAGCCAAACAAGCAGGAACACATACAGAGTCGCCGACCCAAGACTACCAGGCGCCAGGCAACTAAACGGGTCCATTGCACTCAGGGTTACACAAGGCCTTCTCTCCAAACAAAGCGACTACACGGGTGTGTCTCAAAAAAGAAGAAAACAACGTATATGCTCCCAATTGGCAAGTTGTCACAGTAAACAATGAGCTTTAGATGCTTCTCCACAAAAGACCACCGAAAATATGGAAAACGATTCGTATCAAGTGCTTCTTCCTATGTACGATTTTGCCCAAATGAGAACATCACGATCTGAGCCGTTGTCAAAACACAAAAAGGAGTATCGCTTTGGGGGAAGCCCTAAGCCAAGCCTCAAAACATAAGCCGAAGCCGCAAGATATGAAGCCAGAAGTGAAGCCCCCTAAACAAATCCCAAAGAATCCCTGAAAGAAGCGACACCGCAGCCCTAAACTAAGCCCTTCTTCTCCTTCTTGTTCTTGTTTGCGTCGTTGATACCCCTAACGCAGCTTTTCTCACCAAAGTTGGGGATTTCCTTTCGTCTACGGCAAAGAGTCACCTCATACTCCTCTGTAAATCTATACAGTTTGTTCCTAGTTTTGCTTTATTATCGACAGGTGTCCCGATTTTTGAGTCTGACGAAAAGATTTCCTGACTCTGTCTTCTCCCGGGCCTCATTGCATCCAGCTTTGCGGCTTTGCTCGCACTCCATCGCAGTCCCAGTCACCTTGCGGCGGTTGAAGTCCAGACATATGAGCTGAGCTTCAGAGCAATCGTTTCCCTTGTTGTTCAACGGGTGGTACATTCGGACCTGTGTCTGAGACTCGACGTCTGGGATTAAGGGCAAGCTTAAGAACGAAGAATGTGTTCCTGTCGTACAGGTGTCATGTTGACTTCTATGCTCCATTCGTAGCTTCTTGTCCCTAGTAGTAAGGCCAGGAGCCCCGTTCGTAGCGTCCTTGCTCCTAGTAGCGATGCCAGGAGCCTCTAGTAGCTTCTTGTTACTAGTAGTAAGGCCAGGAGCCCCTGATTTGAATCTAAATCATCACCACAAACAACACAATCAGACAACACAATCATACGCAGCATGATGTTGCTGCTGCTTGGCTTTTGTTGATTATGCTGTCAGGCATTGCTGATGCAGGAACTTGGAGGGAAGTTCGTGAACATATTAGCGAACATGTGTAATCTTATTGTGCGGTTATTAAACTGCTGTGGAGTTGCCAACAAAACATAAGCAGTGCCAGAAACCCTTCATCAGAGATTGGTCCACTGGTGACTTTCGTTGTTTCGATTGAATAAGTGGTCGACATGGCTCAAAATGGCAAAGGCAGAACCTTGCCTAGCCTTTAGAACAAGAAGCTACTAGGGGCTCCTGGCATCGCTACTAGGAGCAAAGACGCTACTACGGGCTCCTGGCCTTACTACTAGGAGCAAGAAGCTACTATGAGCAAAGGCAGACGTTCAGATGTTGCAAACGCCTTTCAGGTTGAACCTGATGGTAAAGGCACTGCAAATTGCAGCTTTAGTAGCGAACCTGCGGCTTCATCTTGGCTGCCAAGGATAGCAAGCCGTTGGCGGCATTGAAAACCTGGCCACGAGAGAAATCAAATGAAGTCAATATCTTCACAGATCTCAAGATCTCAATGTCTTGGCGGAACTATGGGCTGCTCCCTCTTGCCATCTTCACTTCGTGGTCACACCAGTCACCACGAGCACCGAAGCTCGACGAAAGGCGCCCCCTTTTCTTCTGGACGACCCGCCGAACCGCCGCGGAGCGGTCATTTGGTGCGGCGGCGCTCGGCTTTCACACGACCTGTGGGCACGGACACAGTGCTTGGACCACCGAAGTGGCCCAAACTGTTAGAAGCTACGACTTCTTGAAGGGGATTAGATGAGGCAGGTAAGCCTGTTCAGTAAGTTCTGTGTCCATGTCTACAGGCGTTTCTCTCATTTTTTTTGGTGTGTTTCTTTAGACTACTTCGCTATACCTCGGCACAAACCTCGCATTGCTCAGTGAGACCATTCCGCTCTCGACTCGCTCGATGGAGGTTTAAGACTCGCACCGTCCTCGACGGTCCAAACTTCATCGCAGACCTGCGACGAGCGACTGGGTCGGTGGGACGGAGCTGCGAAAAGAGGGAGCGATCGGACGCTACTAGGAGCAAAGGGCATCGCTTCTAGGAGCAAAGGGCCTTACTACTAGGAACAAGAAGCTAGTAGAAATAACAAATAGACTTTGCTTTAAATAGAAGCTTCTTGTTCCTAGTAGTACGGCCAGGAGCCCCGTTCGTAGCGTCCGATCGCTCCTAGTAGCGATGCCCTTTGTTCCTAGTAGCTTCTTGCTCCCAAAAGGATCCAAATAGGCACAAATCAAATCCAAATGGAAGCATAATATATGGAAGCATGCAGACACTGTGAAGCGACTTTCCTGCCTCTTCAATCAACTTCTCGTTGTGAGAAACCACTGCAAAGCCACCGCGGAAGGTACGCATAGCACGTTTCAACAACTCCACGGTGTCCGTGTCTGGCGCAAAGAAAAGCTGAATTCTTCCGACCCACGCGCACGTGTACAAAAATGGTGCGAAACCGCAAAGCCTAAATAGTTCGTTGGCTCGTCCAAGCACACCACATGGGGCCTGATGGAAATCAGGCATCGCATTCTTCTTCCCCGAAAAAAAAAAAAGAATGCAATAACTTGGCAGTAAGTACCACTGTACCACTGTACCACGGTGCAGGACAGCAAAAGAAAAGCAGATGGAAAGAGCTTTAGTTGGGAGGGCCCCACACACGTCGCTCTCACACGTCGCCACGTCGCCACCATCGAGTCGGACCTGGTCCAAAAGGCGGCGCCCAAGGCCAGTTTGCATTTCTGTCCAGAGGAGAGCACCGAGATTCTCCGATGGCAAACCACATCCTGCGCGACGCGGCAATTTGGACTCTTTTTGGGACGTTGTGCTTCAAAACCACTTAGTGCTATACCTTCCAAATCCCTTCCAAGCTGGGTGACTCCAGACTGGATATGTGAGATGATGACTCCTTCGTTTCCGCTACTTCCTCAACGGACACGCACAAACAGCAGATGGGGAGTTCACGAGTTCACCATCTGCCAATTGCGCCTGAAGGTGCGCCGTCCACGAATGTCTAGATAGTTTCGAAACCGAATTGGACTGAACTCCCCCTCAGTAGAGTCCTTGCAAGTTTGCAGTGGCAGCTTGCACATAAGAGAGTTAAAAAATGTTAAAAACATTGCTAGGTTTGGAGGCCATCGCCATTAGGTTGGAGGCCATCGCCATTAGGTTGGAGGCCATTGCTAGTAGGTTGAAGGCCATTGCTATTAGGCTATTATAGAAATTCTTACGTTGAAAACATGACCTTTGTTCAACCTTTTTTTAGCCGCTCTTCGCTCTCCGCTCAAAGCGACCTCGTCGAGGCCAAAAGGCTCCAGGTGCTGAAGCACTTCACGGTCCCTGAAGAGTTGGTCAAAAAGCGAACATCTGACCGTTTTGCTCGGAACAAGTGCATCGCTACTAGGAGCAAAGGGCATCGCTACTAGGAGCAAAGGATGCTACGAACGGGAATCCTGGCCTTACTACTAGGAACAAGAAGCTACTAGGAACAAGAAGCTACTAGGAACAAGTGCATCGCTTCTAGTAACAAGTGCCTTACTAGTAGGAGCAAGAAGCTACTAGGAACAAGAAGCTACTAGGAACAAGTGCATCGCTTCTAGTAACAAGTGCCTTACTAGTAGGAGCAAGAAGCTACTAGGAACAAGTGCATCGCTGCTAGTAACAAGTGCCTTACTAGTAGGAGCAAGAAGCTACTAGGAACAAGTGCATCGCTTCTAGTAACAAGTGCCTTACTAGTAGGAGCAAGAAGCTACTAGGAACAAGAAGCTATTCGTGCTTCTTGTTTCTACTAGCTTCTTGTTACTAGTAGTAAGGCACTTGTGACTACTAGCTGCAGGGCACTGGGATCGTGTCGGTTCATTCGCTCCCGAGCGACACAGCGAAGCGACAGAGCGACAACCGAGCGACTCTTCAGACGAGTTTCGTCAATGGCCGTTGAGGACAACCAGCCCAAGCAGCCCAAATCCGGGAATCCAGGTCTTCCACCAGCTTCAAGGCCTACGTTTCGTTCGATTCCGAAAAGGATGTGAAACACAGAGATCTTGCCAAAGCTTCATCTGTTCGAATCACTTTCGAGAAAGCACCTGCCTTGAGCTGTTTAAGCCTGGCGGCTGGAGCTTGTCATACATTCCAGTGCTGGTGGGGCCTCCTAGTCCCCCACCTTCCCTTTTGGCGCATAGCACAACACATCCGATTTGTTCCAGCCGGAAGCGTTTGTGCCTGCTAATTGGCTCGAAGGTGTTCTCGGCAGGGCTGAGATCTTTCCACTTGACCTCGTACATGAATTCTCGGTCCTTTTCTTTGATTTTCTCCTTGCCATCCTCAACGCAGGTCCATATGAAAATATGCTAATCATGCTGACCCACAAATTATGTAACGCCTAAACTCGTCCTGACACACATTGTGGAGCTGGTACAGAAGCCACAGAGCTACTCAGCACAGAGTTTCACCCAAAAATCACAGTGCAAAAAAGGCTCTGTAAGCTCGATACCTCGGCTCTGAATCAATGCGTTGTCACTACACACGACAAGCCTCTTTTGGAGAACCCACAATATACATTAGGAACGAGGAGCTACTAGGGGCTCCTGGCATCGCTACTAGGAGCAAGGATGCTACTACGAGCTCCTGGACTTACTACTAGGAGCAAGCACGATACTAGCTACTACCCACGATATACATGTGTTCAACACCAAGGCACGATTGATCAAAGCCTCCACAGCTTTGCCTCGCTTGCCGTGGCGCAAACCGACGCTACGCATTTCATCCTCCTCCTGGCGAGCGTTTGGATCAAGCTTTTTTGCAGGAATTGGCAATGGAAACCGTTGTTTGACTTGAATGATTGAACAATTGCTGAATACTCCTTGAAATGTCCGAATTCGATTCATCCAAGTCCCTCTTCATGAGTAATCGAATTGGGTCGAACAGATTCCGTTTGTTTCCTTCTGCTTCGGTCCTTTTTGGAGAGAAGCTTCTCACCACGCACGATGGGCGTCTCCTCGTCAAACCCGCGTCGAAATCGGATTTGCATGTATTCCAAGGGTGTCTTCTCCACGTAGTTCCTTGGCATCGCTACTAGGAGCAAGGACGCCAGCAGGGGCTCCTGGCCGTACTACTAGGAGCAAGAATGCTACTAGTAAAAAGAAGCTACTAGGGGCTCCTGGCATCGCTACTAGGAGCAAGGATGCATTTCCATCAGGTGCTGTGAGCTGGCCATAAAAACTCCTCTCAAATCATGACAAGAGTCCCCAAATGCACCAAGGAATGCTGGGCCTCAGTGTATTTATCAAGCAGTTGCTCTTCAGCATCTTCATACTGCCTATCTTCCAAGTTTCTGCTGAGGGACGATGTAAGCCAGACGCAAATCCTTGTGCCACCAAAGCCTCGGATCGTGCATTCACTGTGACTCTTCCGCTTGTCCAAAGCTGTTCACACAGTTTCACCCTGCTGATTTCCACCACCTTCAACACGTTTGTGCATGAAAAGTTCTTGTTTGTGCATGTGACCCTTATTCATCTGCAAAACTGCTGACCCTGCCACGCCCCTTGCCTGCCAGTCCTTCCGCCAACAGTGGTGGGCTGCTTTCGGCCGGCGAGCATGGACAATAATGTGGATTTTCCGGATCCGTTTTTCCCGACGATGCCGACCTAAGCTGGGATACTAGAACCGCTTTACATGCCAGCATGTTGGATCTCGGAAGCATAATAAAACATTGTTTTAGCTGGAGGGTTGCTGACTAGGCCAAATTGACAAGTTGGGCCATTGAAAGGCAAGGACCTGGCCAGTGGTCAGTGGCTAGTGGGAGACAAAAACCAGTGTGTGCAGTGTGCAGGTCCCACCCGTTTAAAGTCTAAATGGACTTCTCCCTTCCTCCACAAACCACATCACGTCACTTGCATTCCAAGAGCAAAATAGAAGAAAAAAATAGAACAAAATGGATTCTAATAACAATGGCCTCCAACCTACTAGCGTTGACCTCAAATCTAATGGCGATGGCCTCCAACCTAACAGCGATGGCCTCCAACCCAATAGCGATGGCCTCCAACCTAGAAGCTATGGCCTCCAACCTACTAGCGATGACCTCAAATCTAATGGCGATGGCCTCCAACCTCCTCCAACCCAATAGCGATGGCCTCCAACCTAGAAGCGATGGCCTCC